TCTTCTTCTTCTTCTTCTTCTTCTTCTTCTTCTTCTTCTTCTTCTTCTTCTTCTTCTTCTTCTTCTTCTTCTTCTTCTTCTTCTTCTTCTTCTTCTTCTTCTTCTTTTTCTTCTTCTTCTTCTTCTTCTTTTTGCTTCTTTTTCGCGTTCACCAGCTGTAAACTATGGCAGCAAGTTTTAGTTGTTTATCCGCTTCTGGACTACAGTCGTGTTCCAGAACCTGAGTGTTGCGTGTGTATCCGTTTTACAGATTCGACTCATTTGTATGCAGACTCCTGGTTTCTTCCTTCTCAGGCAATTGCAATGCAATCCGACTTCGAAGGAAGCTCCTAATTAGTCGACTCTTATGACATGTTTTGGGTAGGCAGTGGGTCTATTCTTGTTTTCCTCCACAATATGGCCCCGGAACCCACACGAGCTTTATGATCTCTCTATATTCAGGTAATTTACACAGCTTTCATTATTTTTATGTATGCCAACAGTAGTCGGTCAGATCGATTTGTGCCTAGTTTATTCACACATTTTACTATCTTCTCCATAGGGTATTGTCACTCTACACACACATGTTGCCATTCCCTTATCTCGGGTTGTTTCAGAACATGAAAACCGTCACTCTTTTGTTACTTTAAGACCTCTCCTTAGCACTTAATTTCTTGGTGGTGAATATATGAGGTAGGGTGGCCATTTCCACAAGGTTACAGGATTTTTCCGCAATGCCGTTGATATTGCATGTTGTATTTTTCAGCACGCCAACACTTTTAAAAACTACAAAATTATGGCAAAATTGGGTCAGCAAATCGCCTCTAGAAAGTGCTGCAGCCTATGTTACAGGCATTCTCTTTCCCTAAATAAAAACGTAAGTGCAAGACAACCCAGAAAGCAAACAACGGAGCGGAACACCCGTTACCTGCAGAAAAGTAGACCATCCCAACAAACTTATGAATGAAACTTAACGTACTTTGTTTGGGGAGACTAACTTAAACTTAACCTGTTGATCTCCCCCCCCCCCCCCCCCCCCCCCCCCCCACTCCCGTCCTCACCTACCTACTATCCTCGTCCCTTCCGTCTTGGTTCCATGCCTTCTGCAATTTTCCTGAATGTTCAGTGGTGCTTGACAGGTTTAAAATATTTCAGCTTCCTAGACAAGGTGGTGTCTTTGCAAATCTTCCTTGATGTTCATATCTTTTAGAATGTTAGTATTTATTTCCATCCTTGTCCATGGTATTCTGGGATTCTTTCTATGGCATTTCTTCTCAGAATCCCATATGTTCTTCCTTAACGACTGGGAGATGGTCCGCAACTCATATCGGTATGTCGCTACAGGGAAGGTGCATGCTCATCAAATTTTAACTCTGATTTCCATGCTGATTATGAAAGATAGACATTTTATGCTAGATAATATATTTATTGCCATGGCCTTCCCCCTTTGGCTTTTTAAATAACAATCTTTATTGCTGTTTATTACGGAACTTAGATACCCACTTCGAGATCTTTCCAAGTTCGTCATCATTTACTTTCTTTTTTTGTGTGTGTGTGTATGTTTGTGTGTGTGTGTGTGTGTGTGTGTGTGTGTGGGGGGGGTGATAACTAGTTTTGTCTGTGAAAATTAATATTTTGTTGTTCTTTTATTTTACCAATAGATTTAATTCACCGCCCCCACCTGGGGTAGTAAAAGAAAAATCTTCTTTTCCTGACCTCTACCTCATCGTGGTCCCCACCGCTGTCCTGTATGTAAGCCTAGTGGAAATATGGGGTGTAACCTATCTTCCCTATGAATAATGACCCGTCTTTTACTTCATCTTTATCTCGATCGCTGCCGTATCTTTGGTCACTGCGTGGTTTCATGGGAGATAACTGTGAAAGTTTACTGTTATTTTCGCAATAGATAAAGAAAGGCAAAATAACCTTGGCCGCCAATGTGACTGGTAAATTAAACATTGTAGTCATAATGTCAAGTGGCAGTTTTACCAGTGTACTGACGAGCTATGAGACATGTTGTTACTACTAGTTGCATTATACATTGTTTCTCTTCTAATTTATCATCATCTTCACTATCACCAGTATGCTTGGTATAATAATAATAATAATTAATAACATTAAGATTTGACCTGTACCCTTTCTCCATCCATCCGTCCGTCCCCCGGTCCGTCAGTCTGTCTGTCTGTCTGTCTGTCTGTCTGTCTGTCTGTCTGTCTGTCTGTCTGTCTGTCTGTCTGTCTGTCTGTCTGTCTGTCTGTCTGTCTGTCTGTCTGTCTGTCTGTCTGTCTGTCTGTCTGTCTGTCTGTCTGTCTGTCTGTCTGTCTGTCTGTCTGTCTGTCTGTCTGTCTGTCTGTCTGTCTGTCTGTCTGTCTGTCTGTCTGTCTGTCTGCCTGCCTGTCTGTCTGTCTGTCTGCCTGTTTATCTGTTTTTCTCTCTATAATCTTCAAATAAGCGCACTAACCAGAATATCGTAAAATGTACTATCACTAAAAAATGAAACTGAAAGAGATTAGTTTAAACAAACAGCTAGGGTATGACAACTGATGAGACCAGACACACTACTATTCCGGTCGCCGCGAAGTCAAGTTTACCCAACTAGGCTAGCGAGCAGGGCATACACTGTAATAAGGCTAAATGAAATCTGCTTTTACCTGCTCCAGGATTGTCTCGCAGCGATAGTGCTGGAAGGGATATCTGGAACTGACTGTTCTGTTTGCCTAGTTTATAGTTTTTTTTTTTTTCCCGTATCTCCGATACTTCCGCGGGCAACGGGTCTGTTACAACTGTATGTATATAACACTGCTGACTGTGGTGTCCTGTCTGTAGTCAGTTTTGTCACTGACCAAACCATTTGGTCTGTAGTTTAGCGATAACATTTAATACTGGTTCTGTGCCGACTCTCATCCTGATACCATCGTTCTTAAATCGATCTTTCCTGGTTACGCCAAGCATGATATGTAACCATTTCATTTCTGTCCTGACTATTTTCTTCTGTCTTTTGAAGATAATGTCAATGTTTGACACCTATAGCATAATGCTAGTAAGATTATCATGCTGAGCAGTGCTAATTTATTCACGTGCTAGAATTTCAATATTGGTGCCATTTATCCCATAACGTGATTGGTTGTTCTGCATTATTGTTGTCCGCCTGCTTCTGCTGATGTTTTTTTTTCTCTCCGTCCCCAAGTGGGACGAATTTTTCATTATTGTGGTGCCCCACCCTGGTTGTTGCCGGGGCCCTTATATAAGCAGCGGTTGAACGGGGTTTCTGGGACTTCTCCTTTGGTTATCCTCATCTGAATGGTGGCACTTTGTGTCATGGGGTGTTTATCGCTTAGTGGGATGTTCTAGTGGGGTAAAACGTCAATAAGCTGATGTTTTTCAGTGTGGATGTTGGTTGCTCTGTCTTAAAATGTCATCACCTTTGTTTTGTCTACGTTGATCTTCAAATCATAATATTCCACACACACATGCACAAAGTAACACGTAAATAGAACCCCAAAATATATATTCTTTTAAAAAAAAAAAAACACACACACACGGTACAACAATACGCACTATGGGGGTAGGTACAATTCGTAGGGACGTTCTCTCTGAGGAATTGCAGATGGTTAAACGGTGTCAGGATCGGCCTATACCTAAGTATAAAGATGTGTGCAACTGGTACATAAATGATCAAGCTACTGAGGTACATTGTTCATTGTTTATTTAACGATCACCTTCATCCCACATCGGACATGACCGTAAGTGCTCCCATCTCTTCCCGGGTATGTCTCCAAGTGTTTTTTGGCTAACAACTGCCATTCGGTTCTGGCTGATGTGGCGACGGGTGGTTCACGCATGGTTTCCCGTTTCTCGGCTCCAGCTGGTACACCCAGGGTATACAGTCTATTCAGTGACACATAATTTTTCACGAAACTGAATACTCTCATCGTTTTCTGTAAAACTGATACTGAGATAACTACGTGGGAGCAGGATGCCACGGACCAAGTTGCATGGAAGTGGGAAATGAGGAATCAAGTAGGGACACAGGAGAATTGCAGGTTAGGTAAGAGCAAAGGGTCTGAGAAGAAAGTTTTCAAAAACACATGGTCCTAAAACCTCTGCTCTTTTTGCGGAAGACATTTCTTAACACGAGCAGGTCTTGTCAGTCACACTTGCCAACGTCAAAGAGTGTGATTCCTATGCCTCCATGTAGAAAAATATAATACTACTATTTCAAAAGATGGAAAAGTACCCAAACAAAAATAAAAAGCAATGCAACTGCAAGACGGTACTTTTTATGTGGCACACATACGAATATACAATAATACACTAAAACGGAATTAGTTAAAATAATGTTTGATACTTTACTTTATTAGTTTTAGGAGATGCTATTAAACGTGTGGTTGTGTGTATGTATGTGTGTGTGTGTGTGTGTGTCAAATTGGGCGAATAGATACAGAAATCAAATTAGATTAGAAGCATAAAACACGGCACTCCAAAATTGGAGAAGGTCACGTATGCAACTGTTAGTCCCAAGGAACCACAGAGATTGTCGTCGGTTTTGGAAACACGAGTCTTCTGTGACTGTAAAGTCCTTTAAGAGGGGGAGTCTCTGCCACATAGACTATTTAAACACGTTTGGCACAATAAAATGTGTGCAATTTGATGTTTTGAAAAGTTTTCGTTACTCAGTAACCGAAATCATGCTGACTGTTTGCTTTGAATCGTTTTACATACATTCCCCTAAAAGGGCAAAATCGTTTGAATTTTGCAAAAATCTTTGTTTACATGCAAAGACGTTTGTTTACATTTGCAAAAATGTTTATTTACATTTTCAAAAATGTTTGTTTACATTTGCAAAATGTTTATATACATTTTTTTTTTTTTACATGGTTATTAACATGTCGCATGCCAAATTTTAACAGCTTGCAATTAACGGTTGCCTAGATACATAGTTTTGAAAATTGGGCAACATTTCTGGAACAGACTATGGGACGCCATAACTCGGACATCTAATCGGGGAAGAGCATTTCTACCTACAGTTGTACATCAGGTTGGCAAGCTGAATATCATAATTACTCAGGCCTTGGGTATTGCCAATAATGTTTTGGAAATATGGATCCTTTGTCCGAATGGTAATTTCATTGTTCTTTGAAAACGCGTTCTCTTTATAATGCATGATACTTGTATAATCATATGGCAAGCCGTACGTATCAATTTCATTAGATTTTTCAAAATTGTACCTCTTATTGTCTTTTATATTCTCTTCAAGTACTGTGATATACTGATCTCGGTCAGGGCGCTTGTGTTCATGATAGAATCCAATTGCATGTCCAATTTCATGGAGAATTGTTTGTCGATTCATACAATTCGGCTGAGGAAGTGAAATATGCTGCTCTCCACCGTCCATTCCATGGGTACTAGAATAACACGATTCGCCTTTTATGAATTTGACAAAATTTCTGTCGTGCGTTTCGCGAGGCCTAAACCTGAGACATGTATGATGCCGCCATAGATACATTGCGTCGTAAATTAATTGCACTTCATCCTTATTGAACTGGGAGTAATCAATTTCAAATGGAATCACTTTATTTGTCCAGCGCCTGGAGGAATCTTTTACGGCTTTTCTTCTCTCCCTTGTCAGAATTTGAGGATTCAGAGGATTTCTGCTGTTTTTTGTGACCTGTGAATAGAGTACAAAGTACAAAGTATAGATACCCAGTCAAAGTGAAAGTAACATCTGTGTATTTCTTAGCATATTCGGTTGCATCTATTTAAATGCCCACAACATAATTTACTTGAGCATAGAATGAAGAACAAGAGTGAATCATTTCCACTAAGTTCAGCTGAGGTAAGTTGAGAATTGACATTGCAACACTAGGGGATATTCTCAGAAACGCCCCGTCCCCATCTTCAACAGCAAACGAAGAGTTCCAATTCCGATGGCATTAATTTTGGTATATCCGTCTTACCCTTCCTCTGAGTGCTGGGGGTCGGCATTATCCCATGGTCACTCCGCGCTACAACATTCCGTCCACAGCAGGGTGATTTATATGTGCTTCAGCTCCGTTCACTCTACCTCTAAATTTAATTAACCACATCTAGTTGAAGTGCATCAATTTACCATCAAGCTGCGCAGAATCTGTCTGGTTGTTCTTTTATCACCATACGTACTTTACCTGAAGAAAATACTCTAGAATGCTAACTCTCAGGACGTCTGGGTCGAAGTTTGCTTAACATATATATTTATTTTATCTATATTACACAAATTAGATAGTCGCTAATTTCACTCTAGATTGTATTATATGTGCCTAAAACTAGGGCTTGTTTAAGGAAAGAGAATCTACTCATTTTATCGCATGAGGCTGGGTCTACTTTTACACATTGGTTTGCCTGTGGATAGTGTGAAGCAAAGTAGGATTTCCCAGAACCCCAGTGACGATCTCTGCGACCTCCTAAATACGTGCACCAGCAAACCGAAGGACAGAGATTACAGCCGAGGGCACACTGTTTTGAGTACGAGACAAATGACATAACCAGTTTGTCAAATGTCTTGTCTCCCACTCTGAAACTAGTGATATGTGTAAATATATATACTAGAGACAGAGCGAGAGAGAGAGAGAGAGAGAGAGAGAGAGAGAGAGAGAGAGAGAGAGAGAGAGAGAGAGAGAGAGAGAGAGAGAGAGAGAGAGAAAAGCTAGATATTCAATGTGTGTGTGTTGTGTGTATGTGTGTTTGATACTGAACACATCGCCGTGTGCTCACAAAGCCTGAAAAGGCCTAATTGGTTACAATTTGTTCATACAGAGCAGAGAATCACCGAGGAACATTAATGGGCGAGGCTGGAGGTGATGGACAGGATTCTATCCAGGATATTGCACTGACTGTAGAACAGGTAGAACGGAATTGTTGAACAGACTGACTGTAGAACAGGTAGAACGGAATTGTTGAACAGACTGACTGTAGAACAGGTAGAACGGAATTGTTGAACAGACTGACTGTAGAACGGGTAGAACGGAATTGTTGAACAGACTGACTGTAGAACAGGTAGAACGGAATTGTTGAACAGACTGACTGTAGAACGGGTAGAACACTGGATTGTTGACAGCAGACTAGAACTGTAGAACAGAAACGGAATTGTTTTAACAGCACTGTGAGAACGTCGACTGTTAGAACAGTAGAACGGACTGAAGAATAGAACAGGTAGAACGGAATTGTTGAACAGACTGACTGTAGAAACAGGGTAGAACGGAATTGTTGAACGGACCTGACTGTAGAACGTGCGTAGTGTAGAACGGAATTGTTGAACAGACTGACTGTAGAAACAGTTAAACGGGTACTGAAACGGAAGAACGGAATTGTTGAACAGACTGACTGTCGAACGGGTAGAACTGAATTGTTGAACAGACTGACTGTAGAAGAGGTAGAACGGAATTGTTGAACAGACTGACTGTAGAACGGGTAGAACGGAATTGTTGAACGGACTGACTACGAGCCCTATTTGTCACACACATATATACACACACACACAAACACATTCTATGCTCGTTTTTTTTTTCTTCTTTTTCGCAGGGGATGTCTAATTTAGCGACATCTTTTCTGTCTTATACGAGATGATACAAGTGTTGCCCAGATATTTCTCTTATTTCTTTACCACTCTTAAAGTCATACCATACTAAATTTAATTTACCGGTTTTACCCAGATAACGAAACAACGTTTTATTCTCTAGCAGTCTACCTCATCCTAGTCTTCACCGTTTGTTGTGGTAGAAACTACACGAAGGAGAGAGCACAACATGAGGGTTCCGTCTTTAAGTTTCGTTTGGACAACCTCGTTTCCTCAAACCGTCAATATCCCATTTCAGGGCATATTTGGTGTTTATCTGTTTGTCACTTCTCATAATTTTCTGTAGCAAGTTTTTCTTACAGGGTGTGGGTGCTGGCGCTGGAGTCACTGTCTGGGTCTTAGGAGCCTCGAGGGTCAGTACATTTTATAGCGCTACCGCTAACTCTGGGCCTTGCGTTGGTTTTGACAGTGGTATCAAGAAAGCCGACCGTTCAGTGCAATGGCAAACTACTGGACGTAAATTTGCCTAAAAAACTACACAACAGCCAGGCGCTGTTGGTGTTGTTTCTGCAACGTCCTGTACAGGATACGCAACTAGCCTATTAACATGTAAACACAAGCCACTGGAAAGCATTTAAACGTTATAGTGTGCGTGTAAGTGTGTGTGAGTGTGGGGTGGGGTCTTAGCGCGCTCATGTGTGTGTCTGTGACAGTATTATATATATATATATATATATAAGAATATATATCATATATACTCTTATATATATATGTGTGTGTGTGTGGTGTGTTGTGTGTGTGTGTGTTGTGGTTTTTTTTTCACCTTGGAACTGTAGTCCCCGTCTCGACGTGAAAGACAGTGGTTCTGTTATTTTTAAAGCACTACCCCGACTGTCACCAGGGTCCCTAAATATAATTTACTGGTTAAAACGCTGTTTCTGGAATTTGCCCTCGGGTGATTCTTCTCTCCTGGAATGGTCGCACCAGGTGTCACGGGGTGTTTATCGCTCGTTGAACGGTCCTGGTGGGGTTGAAGATCCCTCACTCGGATATTGAAGACATCAACCACCACAGTGTGATGTGGCTTTCAGCATGGCTGCGGTGTCAGCACATTTCGGGCAATCACATCCTGTTTCAGCGAACCCATAATGATTGGATTTTTACGACATGCTTGTTATGTGACAGCGGGTCTAGTCTCCCACCCCCACCCCACCCCCATCCTAAAGACAAAACCCTAGCATCTACGTGAAGAGTGTTTGTATGTGTGTGTGTGTGTGTGTGTGTGTGTGTGTATGTGTTTATGTTTATAATACTGATTTTCAGCTGCGTTGACTTGGAAGCCAAAAGTAAGTTTTCAAAAACACCTCTTCGCTTGGGAAAGAACCCTATAACAACCAGACAGGCAGGCAGATGCGTGTGCTAGTCACTGAACTACCAGAGTTTCACTGGTTTCAGTTTCCTTTCAGTCATGAAAGCACTGGGAATGCTTCTACTTACGCTAGAATCAAGATTGCCGTCTTCCAGAGCAGTTTGTTTATCTCCAACAGATACTTCATCTTTGGCATTCTCAAGTCGATCATTTGGGACGGTATTAACAAATCTGCCAAATGTAAGGTACAGATCTGCTACAACCAGCACCTGGTGAAGGAATAAATGGTGATATCATGTGATAGAGAGAGCTATTTTAGACATTTTGTGGGGATCTGATAATGGCATCGGGCAGTCCCTATGGACTATGAAGATTTGCCGCTGGCTTTGTCAACAGCATCTGCTGTTAATGTAAAGTCCGATGCGGTAGTGCCAGTCTCTGTCAAATAGGATACACACAAAAGTAGATACTCTCTCGCTATAAGGCGGATTGTATCTCTGGGATCTCCTCTCTGTAGCTCGCTGTGCTTGGTTTCTTTCACTATGCGACAGTCCATATTTCACTTTCTGTCGCCAGACTAGTTGAATTCATCTTGAGCTGATTTTTTCTTATTCCAAGTTCTCGTTCTGTGCCTTGTCCCCCTCTTTCTGCTGCTTTTCATGTTGATTGTCGAAGCTTTTGGCATCGCTCTTAATGCGACAGCACACATTTTTTAATCTCACTAGTTACCTTCTTATCCTCTTCTCTCTCCTGTTTCCTCTCTCTCTCTTCTCTCTCTCTCTTTCTCTCTCTCTCTCTCTCTCTCTCTCTCTCTCTCTCTCTCTCTAAAAAATCCCAGCGTAGTGTAGATGTGTCTAATAATTGTCTACCAAACTGTATCGACTCTCTATTTGTTTTTTCTTCAAATAAAGTGTGGTTAAAGGCACAAGAGTCAGCTTTACTTCTTTAGGTTTTATCTTACATGTGTAAACTTTTTTAACAGAAAGGAAAGTCGCAAAGAGAGAGCATCACAAACAAAGACGAAATTCCCTGGCTCTCGTGGAGTGTCTCTGTCAACGATAAATTAAGCCAAAAGATTTTCAATGAAATCTGCCTAGAATAGACGTGGTTATGTTTTGTGATATACTTTCTTAGGTCACAAGGTTTTCAACGACACTGTAAATCAGGCCACTAGCAAACTAGAGCGGACACTAACCCTTAATATAAGATTCGAACACACTTTTTCTTCTTCTTCTTCGCCCTTGTCCTATATTGCCTTTCAGCGTCAGGTTTTGAAGAGTCCTCGGATGAGAGCTTTGGTATATGCTACGTAGATGCTACTATTTACAGCCTCGGATATTTCGTATATCCATCGCTTGCATGGTCGACCTCTTAATCTGCTTCTGTTATGTCTAAGAGACACGGCTGTCTGTGGCGCAGTATCTGGTGGTAGTCTTGA